TTGATAGAGTGCTTGCTTAGCAAGTACAAGGCTCTGGGTTCAGTCCCCAGCACTGAAAAAAAAAATAGGCATGAGTCTAGCTTCTACATATGAGAGAAAACATGCTATAATTGTTCTTCTGCGTCTGGCTTATTTCCTGTTAGCAAAATTTTAATCATGTATCAGAATAGGTAGCATGGGGGTTATAAAATTCCAGATATGAATGATTATATTTGTAACTTACATATACTTCAAAAAAGGTAATGGTTCAAATGTCCCTCTTTCAATATAGCGTATTTTATTATTGTAGGATAAGTCCCTAGGAAAAGTAAAAAGGAAATACTGCTTTGGTTAGCTATTAGATATCTAATTGGTATGAATAAGCAACAGAACTTAGAATTGATAATATTGTGTTTTCTTAAACTCTAAACATTTGGTTTTATATGTGAACTTTCTAGAGCCTCTAATCCTATCCACATCTATCTAAGATGTCTCCACCTTCATGGTTTTCCTGTATAAAATAGGCCCTGGGAAATTTTGGAGGCAGTCTTTCCTGAGAGTGAAATTATTAGGTGACTTCTGCTTTTGAAACAGGATTTCTCCATGTGGAATGTGATCCTTTCACCTCAGCCTCCTGAGTCTTGAATTTACAGGCACAAACCTGGTAGCTGGGAGCTTTCGAAGATGGAAACTCTCAGCTCTACTGCAGACTTACCAAACTGGTAACTGGGGTGGGGGTGGGGTGCTGCCAGAACCAAGTTCTAACCAGATCTCCAGGTGACACTGAGGTTCCTGGCTGGCTCAGAGCATGGATACAGTGCCATGGTCCCATCTTGGCTTGGCATTCAAATCCTAAGGAGGCCCAGCCCTAATCTACTTTCCCTCTTCTGTTCTGCGGGTGCTCCTGGGCCCCCTCAAGCTCTTTGATGCGTTTTGCCTTTTTTTCCACTCTTGTTTTTAGTGTTTAGCACATTCTTCCCAAAACAGCTGTCTGGTGACTCCCATTGACTCTGCAAGGTCTTCCTCTAATTGCATTGCTGTAGGAACAGCTTCCCTAAACCAAACTCAAGTCTTTTCTTCTCTTCTGTGGTCCAGACACAATTTATACCTCAGTGACCTACAAAAGTAGGTATGTATGAATGTGTATGAATGGAGGTCAGAGGGCAATATTCAGAAATCAGTTCCCATCTTCCACCTTGCTGACCCAGGAGTCTCTTGTTTCTGCCGCACTGCTTACCGGAGGCTAGGTGACTGACTGAAGAGGCACACCATTGCAACTGGCTCTTCTCCAGTGTGGGTTCTAAGGACCAAACGTGGGTCATTGGGCTTTCCTTGCTAGTGCTTTTACCCACTGAACTCTCTCCTGACGCCTCATTATTTTAAACCATTATTTTGCTTTTATTTATGTGCGTATGTGTCTGTTCAGGCATTCAGAGGACCAAAGAGGGCATCTGATCCTCTGCAGCTAGAAGTTCAGACGGTCGTGAGCCCCTGATGTGGATGCTGGAAACTGAACTCAGGTCTTCTGGAGAGCATCAAGTGCTCTTAACTGCTGAGCCATCTCCCCACCCCCCTTATGCTTTTGAAATTTTTGCATTCCTTCTAATCACAAACTCCTTGAAAGCATGAAGTCTAACTCATCTATATCATCCATCAAGTTTAAGACTGACACAAATATTTGAGAAAACTCAAATATTTATAAAATATACACACAGTGAATTCTAGAAAAGTGGCTTATTTGGAAGAAATTCAGCTTATGACTTCATATCTGAACCTTCTGTGTCTCTGCAGCATTAAGATTCATGCTTGTTGCACAGGTGTATCCCATGGCAGTTCAGTGTCCAAGTGGGTTACATAGTAATGGGAAGAGGGACTGCCTCTGACATAATCTGATTGGCCTGCTCTTTGATCACCTCCCCCTGAGGGGGGAGCAGCCTTACCAGGCCACAGTAGAGGACAATGCAGCCACTTTTGATGAAAACTGATAGACTAAGATCAGAAAGAAGAGGAGAACCTCCCCTATCAGTGGACTTGGGGAGTGGCATGCATGCAGAAAGGGGAGGGAGGGTGGGATCGGCAGGGGAGGAGGGAGGGGCTTATGGGGGGATACAAAATGAATAAAGTGTAATTAATAAAAAATTAAAAAAAAACTTAAAAAAAAAGATTCATGCTTGTATGTTTGTTCCTCTTGAGTACATGAACTTGAGACCTGCCTAACTCTACCTCTCCACTGTTGTGATTAAAGGGACATGCCACTATTCCTGTCTTTTATTGTTTTATCAGTAAATGACAGGGGCACTTCTGCTATGTTTTCTTCAAATAAACTTTGTATGTACTTACTAACCAATATTTCAATATCTATTTTGACATGGGCATAAGAATTCTTACACTGAAAACTGTAATACTAGTCTGTTCTCCTAATGACTTAATAATCACTTTAATACTATTTTATGTAAACTACCATTTAGTGACTTATTTAATATTTCATCATCAATTTAATTCTGATTAAATTCTTACATGAAGTTGGATATGCCAGCCACATGCGTGCGATCCTAGCATTTGGGAGGCTGAAATGGAAGGAAGGACTGCTGCAAGTTCAAGGTCAGCCTGGGCAACACAATGAGGCCTACAGCCTGGGCAACACAATGAGACCTAGTTTCAAAAACAGAAAACAAAACAAAACAAAACAAAACAAAACAAAACAAAAAAAAAAACAGCATGGGGCATATGTGGTTGGTGGAGTTCTTGTCTCCCATGCACAAAAACTTGGATTTGATCCCCAGAATTATGTAAACCATGTGATAATGCATGCCCGTAATCCTAGAACTTTGGAGATAGAGGCAAGATATTCAAGAATTTGTCAAGGCTAGCTTTGGCTATTTAGAGAGTTCAAGGCAAGCCTGAGCTACATGTTACCATATCTCAAAGAGGGAAAAACACTGTCAAAAAATTCTGGGTTAATGACCTTAAAATTAATGTAGTTGGCTATTTTCTTCTTTTTGATACATCTAATCAAAGGTAACACTAATTTTCTTACATTCTGTCTTAAACCTTTTCTTGTAAAGGCTAAATTCGTAAGTGTGTTGGGTTTGCAAGCCCATACACAGAACCAGAAACAATGGAGCCAGCAGCCATGAACCAAAAACCTCTGCAACGAAGGACCAAAATAAATCTTGCCTCCTTCAAGTTGTTCGTATCAGGCCCTGTCTCACCGACAGGAAAGGTACTGGCACAGTCCTCTAAAAGGGTCAGACCGCTCCTAACTCATGGGCTACAGTAAATGAGAACATGGATCAGACTTGATCGAGCTATGGCAAGATCTAAATACAAGCATGTAACAAGGGCTGCGTGAGTTTCAGTAACTGCTGTCTGTATGATTTAAGAAATGTAGAATGCATGGAAGGTATTTTAATGTCAGAGATGGGCTGAAAACTCCACAGGCTGACACAACTGCGGGTTTGTTTTATATTCTGTACTTAGAGGCCTGGTCTTGCCAAGCAGCCCTGGAACTGGTATGAACCTGCTGTGCAGACCATGCAGATCTCCAACTTGTGGCAACCTTCCTGTTTCCAACCTCCTCAGTGCTGGGGTCATAGGCAAGCACTGCCAAACCCAGTCAACCATTGAACAATTTTATTGCTTCAAAGACGTTAGTATCTATCTACTTCAAACCCCTTGTTCATCCACAGATAACTCATAACTTACAAATAAATATTCTTAACTAACTTACAAAGCCTGGAGGGTTAGCAGGCCTTCAAATGTATCCTTACCTAATTCAGTCAGCTGATTTTCACTGAGAATTCTGCAAAATTAAAAGGTTACCTGGATCAAAAAATCATCAAATAGATGGAGAACATCCACTGGTGAAATGAGATAAAGAAATACATGCTGTCATATGTC